CACACACACACACACACACACACACACACACACACACACACGCACACACACAGGTAAAGTGTGTGTGTGTTTGATGTAATGATGAAGGAGGCTCTTTCAGAACCAAAGGGTGAAGAAATACATAGAATCAAAGATTAAGAGGAAATGAATCAGTCTGAAAAAAAGGTAAATTTAAACAAATTTAACAGAAAGAGAACAAGAAGAGGAGGAGGTGAGGAAGAGAAGAATAAGAAGGAGGCTAAAGAGGAGAAGTGAAAGAAACAGGAAGAGAAGTGAAGAAGAAGACGAGAAATGGGCTAACGGAGAAGGAGAGGAAGAATAAAAGAAGAATGATGAGGAAGATAAAACTAAGAATAAAGGAAAAGAGAAAGGAGGAGGAGGGTCAGGATGTGGAGGACAAAGAAGAGGTTGCTGGTTTGAATCCTGCCTGAGTTTGCATGTTCTGTGGGTTCAGCAGTCACATTTATCAGCGCTCTGTTGTTGAAGAGTGTGTGTTACTGATCGGTGCACAGAGTGTAACGGTGTGCTGACATCAGGCGGAGTGACATTAATCAAGTTAGACACAGTTCAGCTGTCAAATGTCAGCAGCTGCCTTTGGGCTCCAGCTAAAAATCACATCACTTCTCAGAACGCTTTATTTTATTATGCAAGAAATATTTGGTAAACTCTCTGAACGCTGAGGCTCAGCGAACATCACTCGGATTTATTTTTATTATAAAAACACGTGGACTGATTATTTTTCCCTGTTTTATTTCTAAAGTTTTTAAATGCAGGACAAAATGAACAGGAACACTATATGGAGTGCACCAACCACAGCAATACTTCATACAACTTTCAGAAATCACGGCAAAGTTCAAGCATGAAAAAAAAACCTAAATTAAACCAGCAAACATATTACATTACATTGTACAAGTACATTTCTCCCATAAATCAGTGTATTAAAAAGAAATCAACAGATCACAGTTTTCCTTCCTTTCTATTATTTTAAGAGATACATATATGCATAGATTTGCTCTGAAAATTAGGACAATATTAATTTGCATATATTAGTTTTCATTTGTATCTCATTTGCTTCATTAGCATTTTGTTATTAAATTAATCATTGTACAATTTATTTAGGTTTTGGGGTGGGGAGTGGAGGGTTGTATTGAATACTGAAAATAGGCCAATGAGAATAAATATCAATAATACAGTTTAAAATTTAGGTTACTTTACAAACAGCTGTCCTGACATTGGCTGTGAACAAAACTCGCCAGTCAGGTAGCGAGTAATCCCGCCACAATAAAGTGCAGCCTAATAATGCTTTAGGTCTCCATAAAATATGAAGATTAGACAAATAAAACAAGTGGAAACCAACACAGAAATGATAAAGCTGCAGTTCCTCTGTTGTCCACTTGAGGCTCACTTCCACCTCACAGGCAGCTGGAGCTGTTTGCTAGGCTTCACCTCAGTGGAGTGGCCTTTTGGAGCATTTTTAATGACATCATGTGACCAATAATATGTCTCCTGCCAAACAGTCTGAGCTCCTGTGCTTTGAATGATTGAGTGTCTGTGCATTTGAACTCTATAGTTTACTGATATGAACCACTAACCAAGCTTGGTAGCATTGCAGCAGCCAAATCACTAATTTGAGTGCGACATCATCAACAGTGGTTTGACTGCATTCATCTTTTTATACAAGTTCTGTGTGGAGGGTCTTAAAGGCAGACATGTCTCACCTGAACTTTTCAGAGCACACTTTAATCAGGTAAGTTACTTTGCTTCATCTCCTAATCCTAGCACTCTGCGATTTTACTCCAAATCAGAGGAGTTACGTTTAGCTTGCTTTTTAAAATTATACACGACTAACTGTCCACTCTTTGTTGTGAAACAGGCGTTAGTCTGTGGGCCGAGATCTAGGTCTGAGATCCAGTTCAGCCAGCAGACTCGCTCGCTTCCTCACCAAACAGTTACGTCTGTGAGAACGAAGAGATGGCAAGTTTAAGGTCTAGACACTGTGTTCTCCACTGAGTGTGTGTGTCTGCGCGTGCTGATTCATTGACTGAGCAATGAAAAACTACTCGGGTCAGCAAGTAAGTGTGTGTGTGTGTGTGTGTGTGTGTGTGTGTGTGTGTGTGTGTGTGTGTGTGCACGCTGCTGGCTCCCAAACAGGGGTTGTCGACATCAGCACTCAGTAATAACAGTAACATCAGCAGAGAGAGGATGACATGGACTGTGTGAGTGTGTGCGCGAGACACACGTGATTATTTTTGTCACAACCAGGCAGATGTAATGAGTAAGCAGCGGGACACACACACACACACACACACACACACACACACACACACACACACACACACACACACACAGAGGCTTCGGTCAGAGACACCGTGTCCATGTGGATTTCCTGATGATAAATTGCTTGTTCAAGTCTAAAGCTCATCAGTTTTTAAAATGTTTTTCCTAAATTCTGTTTATACGCTAATTTTACTTTAAAACATTTTACATCCCTGAGTTTTCGTCTTCCCCATCACTGTCCTAGTGCCTGTTAGCAAGGGCAGGACTATGCTGACCAAATTAGATAGGTTACAGCAGAGGACTGTGTGTTATTGTGAGGAAACACCACAGAAGAAGCCTGTCACGCAACAAACACCTTTCTTCAGAGCAAGGAAACGTCTCATTCTTCACCTACATGCTAACACGACATCGGAAAAGAATTGGAAGAGTTACAGAGTTTGACTTTTTAGGTTTAAGACTCAAGACGTGAATGTTGTGGAGCAACATCTATGAATGACTTAATGGTAAGAAGCACTGAAAGAAGCGTGTCAAGTGAAATGATCCTCCTTTTATTCAGGAGTCTTTTGTTCATCAAGATGACCCCTGAATACACAGAACGCCCCAAAATCAGACAGCCCTCTATGA